AAAAAAACACGACATGTTGTCCTGACTTGGCAAGACCTGGAAGTCCTTGAGTCGGTGCACAAGGCTCTGAAACCCCTTGTGGATTTCACTGATGCCCTTTCAGGGGAGGACTTGTCACAGTGTCATGTGTCAAACCTGTGCTACATCTCTTCCATACAAGCATCTTGGCAGTTCATGAAGATGACACTCCACTGACCCAGTCCATCAAAGTCTCCATCCTGGACTACCTTCATGAGAAATTTGATGACCCTTCCACCGACACCCTTCTGGACATGGCATCATTAGTTGGTCCCAGATTTAAAACAACGTACATTACCACAGAGAAGTTGGAGGAAATTAAGAACAGAGCCCTAAAGGAGATGGAGGCAGATGTCATGCTGTCTGATCAAGGTGCTCCAGGTTCGCCTGCTTCACAGCCCAGTGAAATGGAAGTGGTATCAGAGCAAGATGCACCAAAAAAGAAAACACTTGGAAGTTTCTTTAAAAAGGCCAAAACATCCTCTTCCAAAACTGCGTCATCACTTCGACAACTAATGGACGCAGAACTTTCTGCCTACTTGCAGTCTGTGAGTGCCGACAGTGAATCTGATCCACTGCTGTGGTGGAGAGGCCATGAAGAAATATTCCCAAATGTGAAACAGCTGGCAAAAAAGTATCTGTGTGTACCTGCTACTAGCTCCCCATCAGAAAGGGTATTTAGTACTAGTGGAAATGTGGTGACATGTCACCGGGCCTCCCTCAGACCTGAAGCTGTTGACAGGCTTGTGTTTTTGGCACAGAATCTCAACAAACCTATGAACCTTTTGCATCGATGAGACCTATTCAGGGGTATTAATGTCACCATTTGGACATAAGCTTCTTTTATTTCAACTTAGCATCATTTCCTTTTTTACCACTTTGTGTGGTGTGTGTTTAAAATCTAGCACACAAAGAGTAATTATTATTTAAAATATTTTGAGATGCTCTAACATCTGTGATAAAACTGTTCTTGTGCAGGGATTGTGCAGATATTGCCTGAACTTGGCACCGTTTACCAGTTTAGCACTTTTTGTGTTTTGTTGTTCAAAATTTTCAGCATATGCAAATTGTTTAGAGAAGCTCTGATACCTGTGGCTGTTCTGGGTCAGTTGATTATATAGTCACTATTTAAACTTTTATTTTTGTAATCTGGACTCATCAGGTTTTTTGATTTTACAACTTTTATGCAAAAAGCACTAACAAGCACCTTTTTTTTTTCAGACAGCTGGTTTATTTTTCATTGTGGATTTGTGCTTGGTGTACTTTTTTTGCTTGTTTATCTTGTTTATTAAAGGTATAGTGTTGACCACAGTAAGAGACAGTGGTACCAACTGAAGAAGATGATTTGTGTGCAACTGATGGTTTCAATAAAACATTTTAAACTTGTTCTGATTTTGTATTCAATTTCAAAAAAACATCAATGGTCTGTTTGAATAGAGTACACCAGTGACATTTTAAATACTAGTTTAAAGTAACACTGGAGATTATTTATTAATATCGTGATATATATCGTGTATCGTGATATAGCAAAATAATATCGGGATATTAGATTTTCCTCATATCGCCCAGCCCTACTTGGGGGGAATGTGTGCGTTTTTGACGATGATGTGTGTTTTGAAATAAAACAAAAACATCTCTCAGAGTAAAGTTTCATTTGATTCCAGCCTGACTGTCAGATCAACTGATCTCACAGCTGCCTCTCTTCACACATTCCCCACACAGAACGAGCCCGTAACCTTTAAACAGTGTTTTCAATGGCACCGCAGCTCGGTAAATCTCACAAAACACTCGTCTGTTACGTCAGCTAAAAATGATGTTTTTCAGCAGACCGAGTCCGGGAAAATCCCTCGTTCTCAGCCAGAGCCCGTTTTATTTTCTGGTGTTTCTGCCCACTCCCCTCGCAGCAGGAATAAACGTGTTTCTCCATGTAAGCTGCAACCCCCCCCCCCAAAAAAAAAGACGTCTCATTCAAAAAAGCACCCACGCCTCACAACACAAAAATGCGCGCCCGCTCTCCGAACGTTACTCAGAGTGTCAGCGAGTGTGTTCCCTGGACAGGTGGATGGACCAACTGATCAGCAGGGGTTACACGCTGCAGTTCGCAGCTCACTCCCCACCATTCAAAGGGATTATAGAGATGGTTCTGTCATCTCCAAAACAGAGCTCGTCTCTCCAGTCAGAAGTTCAGGAACTCCTGATAAAAAACGTGAGTTCCCAACAGAGAGGAAAACACGGGGTTTTACTCCCGCTACTTCCTGGTTCCGAAAAAAACGAGAGGGATGAGACCCATTCTTGGCCTGTCCATGTTCAGCAAATCAATCATGGAGAGACAATTCCACATGCTGACAAACAGCTGCTGGAGAACATCCACCAGAACGACTGGTTCACCTCCATAGATCTGAAGGACACATATTTTCACATTCCCATCATTCCGAAACACAGAAAATTCTAGCGTTTCTCCTTCCAGGGGATTCCGTATCAGTACAACAGGCTACCGTTCGGTTATTCCCTCGCCCCATGCACGTTCTCCAAATGCGTGGAGACGGCTCTGCAGCCTTTACACATGGCAGGAATGAGAATCCTTTCTTATCTGGACGATATGCTTTTATTAGCTCGGTCCAGGCAGGAAGCAGCCGCGCAGACCAAGATGCTAGCGATACACCTGCTAAACCTGGGTTTTTCTATAAACTGGGAAAAAAGTTCTGTTCTCCCGTCCTAAGTGATTATTTATCTGGGAGTGGAGCTAAACTCAACCATAATGAGAACCCGTTTATCACAGCCAAAAGCCGATGCTCTGTCAGCTCAGCTCTGCCATGTCAAACCCCGCAGTGTAGTGACAGCTCTGTCTGTCATGCGGCTCCTGGGGATGATGTCAGCGGCTCATGATGTGGTTCCACTGGGCCTGCTTCACATGAGATGGCTTCAGAGATGGTTCGCCCACCTGCGCATAGATCCTATGCGCCAGAAGAGATGGATGATCTCTGTGCCCCCCTCTGTGGGAACCTATCTGAATCATTGGGGAAACCCCTTCATTCTGTCAGAGGGAGTTCCCATCAGCAGGCTTACCTCACACGTCTCAGTTTTCACGGACGCGTCCCTGTCAGGTTCGGGAGGAGCGTGTCTGTCCCAGGGAGCACAGTGGCCAGACCACATGTCTTTTTACATAAATTTGCTGGAGCTTCTCACAGTCTGGAAAGTGACTCAGCATTTTGCTCCTCTGTTGCGGGATCAGCATGTTCTGATCCACATAGACAACAGAGTGACAGCAGCCTACATAAACCGTCAGGGAGGCGTGCACTCAGCGCAACTATTACACATTGTGAGAGAGCTGCTGTGCTGGGCACACACAAACCTGCTCTCCATCAGAGCAGTGTACATTCCTGGCGTTCTGAATAGGGAAGTGGACATCATGTAGAGGGGCGGTCCTCGCCACAGGGACTGGAGTCTCCATCCTAACAGAAAAGTGGACATCATGTAGAGGGGCGGTCCTCGCCACGGGGACTAGAGCCTCCATCCTGAGCTGATCTCTTGGATCTGGAGCAGGTTCGGCCGAGCAGCAGTGGATCCGTTCGCCACACGGGAGAACACCCAGTGTCAGTTATGGTTCTCACTGAGCCCATGGGACAACCTACCATTAGGGGTGGATGCCTTTGCTCACAGTCCATGGCCAAAAATGCTCCTTTATGCTTTCTCTCTAGTTTCGCTGATCTCACGGACCCTGGACCGAGTTCGGGAGGAAGAGCTGTCAGTCATTCTCGTAGTTCCCAAGCGCAAAACCACCCCATGGTTCCCAAACCTGCAGCAACTGGTGTCGGGCCAGCCATGGAAATTGCTGTGGAGGGAGGATGCGCTCCTCCAGGCAGGAGGAGTGATCAGGAGCTACCCAGAAATAGGTCAGCACCTCTGGGTCTGGCTGCTGAACAGATCTGTTTAGAAAGGTTGGGCCTCCTACAGGATGTGGTGCATACGATCCAGGGCGCATGAGTCGCTTCCACCACAGTGCTATACACATCAAAGTGGACAGTTTTTCAGCGGTGGTATGCAGAGAAAGGCTTGGAGGCCATCTCATGTCCACTAGGTGGTGTGCTGTCATTTCTACAGCAGCTGATGGACAGAAATTTAGCATTCAGCACAAGTAAAACGTATACTGCAGCTATTTCTTCCTGTCATGAGGGTTTCGGTGACGGAACAGTCATTAACCACCCGCTGATGAAACATTTTCTGAAATGTGTACGGAGACACAGACCTGTGTCATGTCCACTAGTCCCACAGTGGGACCTAGCGATGGTTTTGCGCGCTCTGATTAAAGCTCCTTTTGAGCCTTTAGATCAGGTTTCACTTAAATTTCTGTAATTTAAAACAGCCCTGCTGTTAGCTCTCACATCTGCAAAGAGAGTGAATGATTTATCTGCTCGCTCTGTTGCTCCCTCATGTCTCAGAATTCAAGTCGATGGCAGCTCTGCTGTACAGCGTCCTAATCCTGCTTTTACTCCTAAAAGCATCACAAGCTCATTGATTGATTGATTGATTGATTGATTGATTAAATCCTTTTCAGTCAGGTTTTAAGAAGCAGCACAGCTCTGCAGCTGTTGTTCTAAATGTTTTAAATGATGTTTGAGGCACTGGATTCTAAAAAGCTTTGCTCTGCTCTGTTTATTGATCCATCCAAGGCATTTGATTGTTTATTGATCCATCCA